CTGCTAAAAACAAATAAAACAAAATTAAGGGGAAGACAGAATTATTACCTTCATACTATCTAGCTCATGAAGTTCCTTAGCAGCACCTTTTTCTGAGTGAAATGCTTTATTCAGAGTCACTGTAGTTACCAGCCCTTTGCAACAACTGCAAAAGAAATAATAAAAATTAAAATTGTTTTGCAAAGCACACACACACTCAGCATGACCTACTTATTGTTGGTTCCTCTTCTAAGTGTTTAAAATCTAAAAATGCACATAGTGGAAGTTTACTGTAATGATTCAGCTAGTGCCTCACCAAGAAGAATAATTTGTCCCTTTATCAATTTCTCACCCTTCTCCTGTTTCTCCCCTCCATCTCTCTCACTCTTGACCATTGGTAACCTTAAACTGAAATGAAGGGAAAAACTGTCCAGATTGTAAAGGCTACTTTCCAAATTTAAAGTAATCATAGTGACAGTATGCAGTGACAGTTAATAGATTATAATTTTTTAGACCTCATCTTTGTTCAGTGGAATCTTCTAGCTTTTCAGATACAAGGGTTTTTTCATTTTTTAAAAGAGATGTTTTGGTTGGTATTTAGTGAAGCACATAAAAGTATACATTCAGCTTTGCATGTAATTATACAGGAAACTATAAGCTTCCTCTCAAATGCCCCCCAAGTATGTGCAAAAGCACAGGATGTATCATCTTATTTAGCAAGTAAAGTTTTTTTTTACCTAATTCTCATCCCATATACGTACACATCCCTTCTTGCCTGTGTTAACACTGTTTTCAAAAGAATTCTAAGGCCATTGGGAACACACCAAAATCTCACATTCTAACTGAGTATAGTGTTGACGCTAGTTGAAAAATTGAACTAGTATTTCTTTCATGGTTTTAAAATAACCCTTATTGCTGCTACTTCACTGCTTTTCTCTTCTCTGCTTTATGTCACATTTAATGTTCAAAAGGGCAGCAATGACATAACCAGAGTTTCACCTGCTCAGATAGCTGGAGTACTGGGACAGCTTTTTCGTCAGTGCAATCGCATCCAGCTCTAACTGTGCAACTCCTATATCATGCTTCTCGGCACCTTCCTCCTCTGACCTTGGAAGAGTGTCCTGATCAGCAAAGTCGGGTATCATCACGATCAGCAAATTTACCATCCACTGGATCATAGCTATATGCAACTCGTCTATCTGTTAAAAAAAACGATTACAATACAAATGACCAATTTTAAACAAATGGAACAGTAAAAACCATACCAAATTTAAAAACAGAAATGATCACACCTGTGTCCAACTTTCAATAGCACTATAATTCTTGATGAAATCGAATTATCACTACTCAGCTAGTGTGGCCTTGTTTTCTTTTGCTCACCGTACCACATTAAACTACACCCTCGTCTTTAGATAGGCGAAGGGTATAACCCACTAAAGCTGCAGTTCCCAAACTGTGTACCAAGGCATGCCCGGGCTCCACAGCAAACTCACAAGGAAACCACGGGAGCTTAAATCGAGGGAAATAACACCGATATGTGCCATCTGCCAGACACAGCATGGGCTGGGCATAGTTCTCAGTTTCAACTTTAGATGGACGGTACCACTTCCCATGGCGTGTCTTTTTTGAAGCCGGTTGGAATGCTCGTTGTACGATACAGACAAGCGCTCTGAGAAAGCAACGTGGCACGGGAAATGCAGGTCGGAGTGTTCCATCTGATGCCACGGCTAGAGAAGCTGCACGATGCCCAACAGGCACACGCATTTCATTTTCATTTTGATTAAATGAGAATAAAATAAAAGTATTTTTCTTTCAATGTATGTGTATTACTTTTCCAAACAGTTACTAAATTGTTAGGACATTAAATATTTAGCAAGTTGTTTGAACTTATTTACTTAATAAACTTAACTATGAGGTATTGCTTTTGGCTTAGGAGTATGAAAATACTGGAACCCACAGGGCGCCATGAACAGAGAAAGTTTGGAAACCTCTGCATTATAGCGTTTGCTGACTCTGGGTCCCAGAAATAAAATGCAGAAAACCTTATAAAATGCAAACATCAGACACAACATACTCTTCAAATGCCCTACCTTCTTTTCTCTGTTTGGTCACTTCCTAAGTATTTCTCTAGGCTTAAACATTATCTACTCTGAGAAGACTTTTTAATTTCCATTGGCTTTAATTTGCTTCCTTTCCATGTTTTGATAGTACTTTGTACATATCTCTGTGATAATAATTTGCAAATCTGTATCCTCAATTAGCTTGTGTGTCTGTTTAAGGAATGAGCTATCGTTTTATCCCTCAATACCATACGTAATAGGGAGTAAACGCTTAATAAACGTTTGTTGAATAAATGAATAAAAATAAAACACCCAGACTTCCTGCCTCTTAATTTGGAAGGAAAAGTTGTTAATGACCTAAAGCAACGTAGATTAATGTATTTTGTATCTGAATTAACATATCTGGAAAAAGGGCAACGTTTTCCTGAGGAAAAAGACAAGTCTTTTTGACAAATCACAGAGACTCCCCCACACATTCCACTAGCCATGCGCCTACTGCTTCTCGATGAAAGTAAATAAATTCCTAACTATTCTTTCACATGGCAATGGCCTGGATTATACTGCCATTGAAATAACTCACTTTTGCTTAAATAAAATATTAATCAATCCTTGTACCATCCCTATGAAATAAACACAAATAGATGCTATTATCTTCATTTCAAAATTATATTAGAGAGTTTAAATGATAGAATCAAGGTCATGCTGAGGAGAGTCTGGGTGACTTAAAAAAAAGAATCAAGGTTATGCAAAAAGTCGTATGTAAATTTAAAATTAAAATCAAATTAAACACAAGAGTATCTTTTATTTTCACAAAGGTATATAATCATTCTTTTTAATGAGGTGGAAAGTGACT